TGAGGATTTTCCAGCCATCTTTCTATTATTGATTTCTAAGTTAATTCCACTATAGTCTGAAAGCAGACATTGTATGATTTTTTGTTGTTGTTGTTGTTCTTTTAAATCTGTTAGGGTGTGTTTTATGGCTCAGAATGTGGTCTGTCTTGGTAAATGTGCCATGTGAGCTTGAGAAGCGTGTGTACTCTGCTGTTGTTGGAAGAAGTAATTGCTAGACATAGTAGTCAATTATATTCAGTCGATTGATGGTGCTGCTGACTTTAACTATGTCTTTAGTGATTTTATGCCTTCTGGATCTACCCGTTTCTGATAGTAGAGTGTTGATGTCTCCAACTATAACAGTCGATTCATCTGTTTTCTCCTTGCAGTTCTATTTTTCCCTTGCATATTTTGATACCCTGCTGCTAGGTGCATGCACATTAAAGATTTAATGTCTTCTCTGAGAATTGATCCCTTTATCATTATGTAATGCCCTTTGCTATCCCTGTCAACTTACCTTGCTCTGAAGTCTGCTCCTTCTGAAATTAATATAGCTACGCCTGCCTTGTTTTTATTAGTGTCATCACAGTATATCTTTCTCCACGCCTTTAATTTTAATCTAAATATGTCTTCTATTTAAAGTATATTTCTTGTAGATTATTTACCTCAAAACCACAATGAGATACCACCTCACACCTGTCAGAATGGCTAACGTTAACAACTCAGGCAACAACAGATGTTGGCGAGGGTGCAGAGAAAGAGGATCTCTTTTGCACCGCAGGTGGGAATGCAAACTGGTGCAGCCACTCTGGAAAACAGTAAGGAGGCTCCTCAGAAAATTAAAAATAGAACTACCCTATGACCCAGCAATTGCACTAGTAGGTATTTATCCAAGTGATACAGGAGTGCTGTTTTGAAGGGGCATATACACCCCAGTGTTTATAGAAGCACTATCAACAATATTGAAACTATGGAAAGAGCCCAAATGTCCATTGATGGACAAGTGGATAAAGAAAATGTGGTACATATACACAATGGAATATTAGTCGCCAATCAAAAAGAATGAAATCCCGACATTTGCAACTGCATGGATGGAACTAGAGGGTATTCTGCTAAATGAAATTAGCCAGTCAGAGAAAGACAAATATCATATGACTTCACTCATATGAGGAATTTAAGATACAAAACAGATCAACCTAAGGGAAGGGAAACAAAAATAATATAAAAACAGGGAGGGGGACAAAACATAAGAGACTATTAAATATAGAGAACAAATTGAGGGTTGCTGAAGGGCTTGTGCAGGGGGAGATAGGCTAAATGAGTAAGGGGCATTAAGGAATTTACTCCTGAAATAATTGTTGCACCATATGCTAACTAACTTGGATGTAAATTTAAAAATAAATAAATTAATTTAAAAAAATGTAACCTCAAAAAAAGGTATATTTCTTGTAGATTAAATATAATCAGGTCCTGTTTTTTGATCCACTCTAAAAATATCTCTTAATTGGCATACAGTTGACCCTTGAACAACACAGGTTTGAACTGCGTGGGTCCACTTATATGTGGATTTTTTTATAGCACTGTAAATGTATTTTCTCTTACTTATTACTTAATAACATTTTTTCCTCTTTGTTAAAAGAATATAGTATATAATGCATACAAAATATGAGCTCATCGACTATTTCTTATCCATAAGGCTTCCAGTCAACAGTAGGCTACTAAATGTTAAGTTTTGAGGGAGTCAGAAGTTACGCTTGAATTTTTTACTATGCAGGGGGTCAACACCCCTAACTCCTATGCTGTTCAAGGGTCTACTATATTTAGATCATTGACATTTAAAGTGATTATTGATATAATTGGATTAATAACTACCATTTTTGCTGCTATTTTCCATTTGATGCCCTTGTTCTTCCTATTTTTATTCCTTTTTTTCTTTTTGTGTTTTCAGCTATTTCATACGATTCCATTTTCTCTTTTTTTTTTAACATATCAATTACTCTTTTTTTGTTTTTTACTTATCTTTGTGGTTGCCTAGTGTTTGCAATATACATTTACAATTAATCCAAATCCACTTTCAAATAACATTCTAATGTTCCAGGGGGTAATGCAAGTGCGTTATAGTAACAAAATAATCATAAGTTCTTCCACTCCATATAGCATTGCTGTCATTCATTTCCCTTACACATAGGCACACATATTTATATACATATGATGAACATAAGCATATGTAAGTGGGTGTATTTTTGCCATTATTTTGAGGAACTGTTATTTCCTAGATCAAGGAAGACTAAGGAAAACCAAGTTTTTATTTTACCATCACTGTTCCTTCTCTGATGGTCTTTGTTTATACAGATTTGAGTTTCTGACTGATGCTGTTTTCCTTCTCCCTGAAGAACTTCTTTTAACATTTCTTGCAAGACAAGTCTGCTGGCCATGAATTCCCTCAGTTTTTATTTGTTTGAGAGAAGTCTTTCTTTCTCCCTCACTTTTGAAGAATAATTTCACAGGATACAGTATTTTATGTTGGTGGTTTTTTGTTTTTTTTTCTCAGTACTTTAAATATTGCACTCTGTTCTCTTGTGCTTGGTTTCTGGGGATGAGTCAGATGTAGCTCTTATCTTTGCTGCTCTGTAGGTCAGGTGTTATTTCCTTCTGGCTTCTTGCAAGAATATTTTTTCTTTATCTTTGATTTTCTGAAGTTTATGTATGACATGCCTACGTATAGTTTGTTGTTGTTGTTATTATTACTATTATTTTGTCGTATATCCTGTTTGGTATTCTCTGAGCTTCCTAGATCTGTGGTTTGGTGTCTGACATTAATTTGAGGCCATTCTCAGTCATTTTTGCTTCAAATATTTCTTCTGTTTATCTCTGTCTTCTTCATCTGGTGTTTCTATTTTCTAGTCCCATCGTTCTTAGACAGCCTCTCTTTTCTTTAGTCTTTTGTTTTTCCTCTTTGTTTCTGTTTTGGAATTTTTTTTTTTTGACACATCCTCAAACTGAGAGATTATTTCCTCGCCCGTGTCCATTGTACCAATGGCATTGGCAGAATGCCCAGCAATGGCATTCTTCATTTCTTTTTTTTTAATTTTTAAATGTTTATTTATTTTTGAGAGAGAGAGAGACAGAGCATGAGTAGGGGAGGGGCAGAGAGAGAGAGGGAGACACAGAATCTGAAGCAGGCTCCAGGCTTTGAGCTGTCAGCACATAGCTCCACATGGGTCTGAAACTCACAAACCCTGAGATCATGACCTGAGCTGAAGCTGGATGCTCAACAGACTGAGTCACCCAGGCTCATTGCATTCTTCATTTCTGTTAAGTGTTTGTGATCTCTAGAATTTCCTTCTGATTCTTCCTTAAAGGGATTTCCATCTCTCTGCTTATATCGCCTATTCTCACATGCCGTCTACTTTATTGATCAGAGCCCTTAGCAAATTAATCATAGCTGTTTGAAACTCCCAGTCTGATAATTCCAACATTCCTGCCATGTCTGGGTCTGGTTCTGACTGCTTGCGCTGTTCCTTGAAACTGTGTGTTTCACCTTTTTAGAATGCCTTTTAACTTTTCTTGATAGCTGAACGTGGTGTACTGGGTAAAAGGAACTGCAGTAAATAGGCCTTTAATAAGGTGGTGGCGAGGGTGTGGGGGAGGGGAAGCATTCTATAGTCCTATAATTAGATCTCAGTGTTTGCCTGAACCTGTGCCTCTGAACTATGAGCTTTGTGAGTGTTACTCAGTGTTTACTGTTTTTCTTTTCCCTCTCACCTTAGGTAGGACAGTATGGCTGGAGGGGGCTGGAGTTGGGTATCTTTCTTTTTCCACATGGAAGGCAAGAAGACACTGGGTTGGGTATTTCCCTCCTCCCACAGGCAAAGCTACAGCAGCTAGCTGGGGTATTTTCCTCCCCCCGCAGGTCAGGTAGGATCTGATAAAACTACAATAGTTGAGGTTCTCGTAAGATAGTTTCTCCTAAAAGCAGGCCTTGTTAAGAACAAAGGATTCTGGTTTATTTCAAAAACAGTTACTCTCCCCCCCCCCGCCCCCCCGCACACCCCCACTGCCGCCAGAAGCATAAGGGAATTTTTCTTCAGGGTTTACTGTGAAACCCTGGTCAAACTCCTAGAAGCAAAACTGACAAAGATGTGGGGGCCCCTATGACTGACCGGGTCAGCCCAGAGTTCAGACTCTCAACCTTGTCCTCCCAGAGACTCCAGCACTTTGCCAATTTTGCTTCGGTTTCCCGGCCCCAGCCCCTCCCCACAGAGGTTGCTGCTGGGGACTTTCTGCCCCGTGAGTTGTGGTTCACTGTAGCTACCCGCCCCCCCACCCCAGTCTGTCTGGTTCATTTTGGCGGCAGCGTGTGCCCTGTGACCTTCCTTCTCTGGTAAATCTGAGAAGAATGGGTTTTTCGGTCTGTGTTCAGCTTTGTACTTGTTGGGACCCAGTGATGTCATCCAGGCTGGAAACTGGAATGGTTGATATTTTCACTTGAGATGCTCTATGCCAAGGACAGCTAAGTGATGTGGGCAAAACAAGGGTTTCAAGCACAGCTTTTATTCCTTTGAAATTGGAGCTTAGATTTGAAAGGAGCCCTGGAGGTCACCTTCTTCAGTGGCCTCGCGTTCAGATGGGCATCTCAGTAGGCTCTACCGCAGGCACTTCTCTCTGGGTAATATTCCCACATTTTGGCAAAGTAGCAGAGTGTGCTGTGTATATGCAACCCATTTGTGCTCAGGATCCACATGAACTTTCTCCAGATAAGCCAGCTACGTTCTCTTCCGGTCACTGGTCTGTTCCCTGAAAGGAAATGTAATGTGCTCTTCATCCACCAACAGTGATCTCTGTTGGGCGTTTGGGTGGATGCTTTTAGTTCTGTGTGATTTTTATCTTTCTCTTTTTGTCTTTCTGCATTTTCCAAATTCTGTCAAATGACCACGTATTACGTTTATGAGCAGAAAAAAACGACGAGATAACATTTCAGTCATGAATGTTGGAGGTCTCCTCTCTGTGTCTCCTCACAGTCTGCAAGATGAACGTCCATCGCCGCTGTGAGACCAACGTAGCCCCCAACTGTGGAGTAGACGCCAGAGGCATTGCCAAGGTCCTGGCTGACCTAGGCGTCACTCCAGACAAAATCACCAACAGTGGCCAGAGGAGGAAAAAGGTAACTGGCTATTTGGGGTGTTTCTGGAGCTCTGTGAATCCATTGTCTCTGTGCGGGCTTCCTGAGAGCCCCATAGAGTGAGCTTCTAAGATCGCTGGGTTTGAGATGCTGCACTCAAAAATAGCATGTGCTTAAAGGGGAGGGAAAGAAAAGAAAAGAAAAGAAATCAGGCAGGCGACATTAAAGGCTCCTTCAGTTCCAGAAGTTGGGGGGGTGGGGGACAAAGTAAGTTCCATTCCTCGAGGAAACATGAGATGAGGACTTTGGAATCCCCTCTAGAAAAAGCACCATTCTAGACAAGGAAACAGGCTTATCTGCCTCCAGAACTGGAATGAAAGCAATGTCAGTGTTTGAACTTCGCCCCCTGGTATTACTGTAATGAGGATAAATGGACAAAAAGCTGGAACCACATTCTTTTCTAGGGAGCAAGCCAAGAAGATCTGTGCTAGTGCCCGCACTCAGCTGCCCAAGGGACATGGTTAATGCCCCGTGACATGAAACATCTGGGCCTTTCTTGGGAGACCCGAGCCCCGTCTCTACCCGTGTGACATTCGGAATGTCACTGGGAAGAGATCCATTTGCTAAAATGCTATTTTGGTAAGTCAGGGCCCACAGATGTAAACAGAGCTAAAGGCATCCATAGCATTTTGTTTGAAGGCCCTTCTTAGCCTTGGCTCCCAGCCTAGAAAATGTAAGAGTCTTTGAAAGAATCAGTTATGAGAAAATCAGAACCATGTTTAACGGGGCAAGAAGTTCTGGTGGAGGTGAGAGGCAGGCAGTGGTCCTCATCGCCTGGGACCAGGCATTCGCAGACACTTGCTAGAAAAGTAAGCCTGACATCGGGTGCTCTACACTTTTGACTCCCAATGTTCTCCCCAAATCCTGCCCTAAAATACCTTCTGAAGGGCTCCATGTTTGCCTTCTTTTAGAAGCTGCCCACGCCCTTTCCCGGATGCATCTCAGAAGAGCCCTTTCCCTTGAGTGAGGAGGTGTGGATGGTTTTCATCTTCTTAAACTCCTCCTTCTCTACCTTCTCAATAAGCACAACTGTCTTGCAAAGTCGGAGGAGAACTTTCTTCTCCCCAGTTGGTTAGCTACGGAATTTTGTGCTTCTGGTGACTCTCAGCTCTGTAAATCCCACCAGTGGAAACAGGACTTCAGTTAGTGACCCAAGGCATCACAATTGCAAGCAGAATGTCAGCACCCAGGAATGTTAGACCCCCACCGAAGAGGCAGGTTAAGTAAATACCTTGTGATGTCAGTGTTGGACATACACATTTATGAGCTCTAGAGAGAGCCCTTTTCAGGACATCCGGCCTTTTTCCTTGCTAGAAGTAAATTGAGACAGAACCATCATTAATTGTCATGAAGCATTTAAGAGAAAACTCAGTACACACCTGTCCCCCCCGCCCCCCCCAAGCCCCGATTGACATGGGCCATAATGCCAATAACCAGCTACCATCTGTCTGTCTGAGATGTGGGTGCACCTGATGGTAAGAAGCCAACATGGAGAAACTCAAGAAGAGACAGAGTTAAAGACTGAAGGATCCTGATCTTTTTATTGCTGGTTTGCTTCTGATGCAAACGCTGGGAAAAAGCCACATGACCCAAGTAGTGGCTCGACTTAGTGTGCAAGGAAGGGAGAGAGATGCTCTTGCTCAGAAGCTAAATGGGCTTTTTGCAAGAGTGTCAGGCTTGCTGGAGTGTTGTTTGTCTTCACGTCGCCCTTTGCAAGTAGTCCCTCACCCAGCGAGGACGTGTGCACACAGTTCCAGATCAGGAGTGAAATAGAGAAGTACGTGTGACCACTTAGTCCAAACCTCTAATGTTAGTAGGAACTCCAAATGGGCGTCCCAACATCTGTGCCAGGAAATAGACTTCACTGGAGGGCGTCCTATTAAAATTTGCCAACCGATATCAATGCACCTAAAAATATTTATTGAGCTTCTGCTAAAGGTATCATTTTGTGCAAGGGGCCAGAAGCCATACCCATGCTCGATAGAGTCTTACCTTCAAAGACCCTATAGTCTCCCTGAGGTGAGCGCCCCACATAAGTTTCCCCATGCAGAAGCCATGAACTAAACACAGCCAAACAAGATGACGGAGAACCATGAAAACTCACATTGCTTGTATCGGTGAGGGGGTTTTCATGGCAGGGGTACAGTTGTGCTTTGCTTAGACGGGTCAGTTGTCTCTGTGTAGGATAAAGACTGAACAAACCTCAGTCTCTAAGTTTTTATTTTCATTCCAGTAGGTTGCCCCATAGTGTAGTGTTGGGTTCTGGCGTACGACATAGTGACGCAGCACTTGCGTACATCACCACATGCAGGCTCTGGTCTTCCCCTTAAGTATTGGGTGAGACCTAAGTCTGTGCTTTCCGAGTGTCAGTTCAGCAAGTGCTGCTGTGTACCAGGGATCCTACAGCCCTCGCTCGGGTCCAGCATCTTGGCGGTTCTGACCTGGGGGGAGCTCCCCACCTCCTTCTCACGTCTCTCCCCCCCCCCCCGTACCCCGCCCTCTCTCTCCCTCTCTCTAGCTCATCGCTGGCGCCGAGTCTCCACAGCCTGCTTCTGGAAGCTCACCATCTGAGGAAGATCGATCCAAGTCAGCACCCACCTCCCCTTGTGACCAGGGTGAGACCCTCAGATTTGCTTTGTGACCTCTGAGCAGTGTCATCGGAAGGACCGAGGGTGTCAGCCACTGCTGACTTGTTAGCTGCTTTTTTCTCTCTACAAGTATTTCTTGAGGGAGAGGCACCAAATGGCAGTACTCGCCTTAAACCCTGTCCGTGCCAGGGTAAGAGAGAAAGAGCAGGGGATGCTGTGGCTCTTTCTTTACTCCTGCCTCTTCCCTAGGGCTCCAAGTGTAGGAAAGTGCCCCGGGCCTTCTGTGTGTCTGTACCACTCAGCTGAGAGCAACTTCCTTCCTGACTCTCATCATGATACCCAAAAGCTGAGAGCAGGGGTGGGCAGAGGCAGGAGCGCCAAGCACAGAACAGACCAGAGAAGGGAGGAAGCGGGCTCTAGGCCTGAGCCCTTCCTAAAGCTCAACTTAGGATGTTTCCCTTTTCCCCATAAGAATATGCCTCCCGTGGTCGAAGTTTCTGAATTCTGCAGGCATCCAAGAATGCTGAGGGGAGACTAACGCGTTTAAAACCTTCCCCTCTGGTGCCCAGACCCAGGCGCCCCTGGGAAGGGACATCTGCTTCTGCAGAGCAGGGATAATCATCATTATGTGACAATAGTCCCCTGATTTTCCGCAGCCCCTGTTGCTTTCCTTCTCTTAATCTTTTGCTCACACGAGCCCTGTGTCAGTGTTCCATCCCTGGCCCCATGTTACAGGGCAGGAAGTGGAAGATCAGAGAGGCAAAATGTTCTGTCCAAAGGCCTGGAACTAAGTCAGCAGTAAGAGAGACACCGTACCCATCCTGGTTTTGGGACCCCAGCTCAGAATCTGTGCTGTCACACCCTCCCTGGGAGTGTGACCCATGTCAGCATACCCAGGAGTGGACAAGACAGCTACGGAACACTGTGGCCATCCCGAGGTCCCGAAGTAGTCGGCCTGTGTCCTTCCTCTCGCTGCTCTCATTAGCTTCCTGTGTCTTTATACTCTGCTCAATTCCGAAAAAGATTTGGTCCATTCATGTGTAATCCAGTGGCACTCGGGGGGCCTCCAGACTAGTGGGTATTATCCTAGAACCGGTGCGGGTGTTTGCATGCGCCCCGTGTTAGTGCTGAGGCCTCCTTTGGGAGCTTCAAGGAGACGGGCTATATGGTAGAGATGCCCCAGTGAAAGGGAGCTGGCTGGAGTTTCTAGGCCCAGCTCCTGTCCCCCTGCTGCCCAGACGCGGCAGGACACTGTGCCTGTCTTCGTCTCCGGTCAGTGCAGGCACCGGATTCGCCAGCAGTGGTGGGGCCACAAATCGATGCAAAGACCCTCTTAGCCAGACACAGCATTGCTGAGGATAACAGGGGATATCACTGGGTGTAATATGGAAACCAACTTGACAATAAACTATTTTAAAAAAAGAAAGAAAGAAAAAAATTAAAAACAAAACAAAACAAAACAAAAAAAACAGGGGATATCACATAGTTTCTCTTCCTTCCAGGGCAAGAACGCCCAGAATGACATTTTCTTCAAGCCCTAGAACCCCTAACCACCAAGTTCTGTTTTCTAAAATCCATTTAAGAGTTCGCCTTGAAAACTGAGACTTTGAGCCGTTCGCTGAGACTAGATTTTATACATAGTAGAGGCATAAGTGAGAGGAAACAGCCGAATTGGCAAAGGGGAGAGCTTTAGACTCGGGGACCACCCTCGCCCTGCCCTCCCCTCCCCCCCTCCCCACAGCACGTCTCAGAGGAGCCGGACTCCAGGTCTGAGAAACATGCAGACTCCTTGAGCGAGCTCTCATCGGCCTCAGTCCTTGCAAAGAAGCTACAGATCTCGTTATGTCGAGCAGCACGTGCTTATCATGCCTACCCCTGATTCCTAAGGGTTAATGGTCTGTGTTCCCCTTCGACCATCCCAGCTATTCATGGGCCTCTCTTAAAACCGGAGTGTGCTTTTGGTGCCCACTTCTACGATGAGGAGTGTGTGTGTGCCTTGGTGAATGAATAGCCAATAATAAAGCTTCCCCAAACAGAAAAGGTCAGAGGGTCATCCAGTGTTATCACCGCCAGGTAGTTTGGGTCATGTGCTCTGCAGGCACAGGACCGTCCCACGGTTGTGAAATGGAACCGAGGAATCCCTGCCCCGGCTCAGATCATTTTACAGCATGTCAGCCTCGGGAAACAATTCTTCCGTTAATGATAAGCCCACTGCTCATTTGGTTTCATATCCTTGTAGGAGGTGGGTGTTAGAATAAATGCAACAACAGGACCAAGTAAAGTGCTTTGCAAATTAAAGGCTTCCTCGTCCTAGCTTTTGATACAGTCTTATCACCAGTGATGACTGCGATGACTGTTGTCAGCCATTGTTCTAAGTTTCAAAGGGAACTTGACAGGTACCTGTTGCCTTTGAGGCTCTGCGGCGTCCCAGACAAGGCCAGGATTCCTACACCATGCCTAAAATAACCGGCCAAGGGGGATTTCAGAGAGAGGGCCGAGTTTTTGTGTAATCTGAAGGCATCGGCTGGTGGGGACTGTGTCCTCCTCCTCTTTGCAGACCGAGATGCCGATGAAAGCGTGTACCCGACGCGTACACTGGGGGCCGATGAAAGCGCGTACATTACATGTACGTTAGGTGCCAGTGAGCGTGGACGTTACATGTACATTAGGTGCACAGTGAAAGCGTGTAGATCAAATGAGCGTGTGAAGAGATGTTGCGCTGGATCGGCTGCTGTGAAGAACCAGAAGGAGGGTGGAGGCCTCAGACTTGGGGTCAAGGGGACGTTCCGAGTGCCGGGTCCTGATGGGAAAGGACCTTGAGGCAGGCACTAACGGTGATCTCTTGTCACCCTTGGCTCTAGAAATAAAAGAACTTGAAAACAACATTCGGAAGGCCTTGTCGTTTGACAACCGAGGGGAGGAGCACAGAGCCGCGGCCTGCAGCGATGGCCACCTGGCGAGCCCCGGCGAGAACGGCGAAGTGCAGCTGAGCCAGGCCAGGCGCTTGGGTCTGGATGAGTTCACCTTCATCAAGGTGCTGGGCAAAGGCAGCTTTGGCAAGGTGTGTGGGATGCGTGGGTACAACATCTGACTTTCTCTGCTCCGTGGCATTGCCTCATCTGTCTGATCTAAATCAGATTCAGCTATGGGGCGCCTGGGTGGCTTAGTCGGTTAAGCGTCCGACTTTCGCTTAGGTCATGATCTCGCGGTTCGTGGGTTCGAGCCCCGCGTCGGGCTCTGTGCTGACTGCCAGCTCAGAGCCTGGAGCCTGTTTCAGTCTGTGACTCCCTCTCTCTCTGACCCTCCCCTGCTCACGCTGTCTCTCTCTCTCCTAGAAATAAGTAAAACATTAAAAAAATAAAAAAATAAATAAATCAGATTCAGCTAGAACATTTCAGCCCAGTCTTACTGCGTCTTCCTGCCTTGCTCTGTGGAAACGGCCTGCGGCCGAGCAGGTGGGAGCCCGGGTTCTGCTGCTAAGTAGCTGTGAGACTTCAGTGTAGTCACTGAACGTCTTTGGGACTCAGGCTTTCTCACTTGTCAACCTGTGACACAGGCATCCAGGGAGATCATGGGTAAGGGAACACTTTGAAAAGCTTAAATTGCTTTACATGAGCTTGGCTTCCTGTGAGCAATACCAGTAGCGATACATTTCTTCCCTTCCTCAGAGCTTCATGCGAACTTCTGGCTTTCACTGGTAACCAAGACTTTAAGAAATGAACTCCAGAATCTTGGCCTTCAGTGAGGCTAGAGCTCAAAGCAAATCTGTGGGTTATTTTAAAAGGTAAATGCTATTGAACTGACTTTTCTGGCATTTACTACATGTTGTAGTAAATTCACACATTGTGTAAATTCTCCACATTGGCAAAGGAATGAGGCCATCTCATGCCTTGGGTTTTGCTTTGTCCTCGAGGCCAGTCTCCCTGTCCCTCTTCACACTGGGATGAGCAGAACGTGTAGGGTATGGTGCCGAGTGTGTCCCATGAAGCTTTCGTGGTGATCAGGCACCATTCCGATGGCAGAGCGAGGTGGGTAAATCCTCTCTGTTCATTTTAGAAAGCAGGTGGAAAGGGCAGAGAGCCTGGGATGCTGGCTAATCTTTCAGCCGAGACCCCCGATTACTCCCTTGCCCTTCTTAAAGGCAGGAGTTCACGGGAGGTATCTCCCCAGGCCCTGCTCTGGGCTGCAGGCCCCAGCCCTCCCCTCCCCCTCAGCTCCCCAGGGTCACGTGCCCTCCCATGTCCAAACTCTTCAGAGCACCAGCCAGTGGGTCAGCCATCTTGCCGAGCTGCAGGCCCGCTCTGCCACTCTCTGCAGGGAACAGCCCAGGAAGCCTTCAGGCTGGGGGCCTGCCCCCGGCCCCTCACCTGCCCCATCTCCTCCTGAGATCACTGTAGTGAGAAGGTAACCGAAGTGGGTGGAAATAACAACTGCTGAAGCAATCCGTCACATTCTTCAAAGACTGCGTAAGAAAGAAGCGAGCCCCAGTCCCAGGGTCCAGGCCTGATTCTGGGATGTGAGTAGCTTCACTTTTGAGTGAGAGTCAAGGTAAACAAGCAGGCTCAGAGTTTCTAGGTCTCCAGACTGTGTTGGCAGGACGGGAGCTTGGAAGACTCCGGAGCATTTAGGTTGTTTCTTAGGAAATATCACAGCCAACGTTGGAGCCAGTTTGAAAGAGCGTGTTGCGTGTGGGCGATGAAAGGTCCTTAGGTAGCCCCCTGAATTCCCTCTCGAGGCTTCTGAGTTCCCCATTCTTGAGCTCTGGAAGCACACTTCGGAGGGCTGTGCTTAGGAGCTGATTGTTCAAAAGGAGGAAGACTTGTCACGTTGTGCAGAAATGAATGCAAAAATATCAAACGACAGGAAACCTTCAATAAAACTGTTCATTCGCCCTCTGGAAACGGAATCCCATTCCCAGTGTCAGAAGAAACACAAAGGCGAACATGACTGATGTAGTTACAGAAGGACAAGTGACCCTGTCTGAGAGAAGATCGAACGGGAAATCCTAACACAGGCTTAGACAAACCTTGACAGAAAGCAAAGTGTTAGCATCTTTACATACCAAACTCCTACAGGCTCCTAAGAAGACAATATAAAGTAGTAGATAACTAACAAAGTGACCTCGACAAATATAAAACTGACAGTTCACACAAATACAATTAGAGGGAAAAAAATTTAAAGTTTCTCTAAATACAGAGAACAAACTGAGGGTTGCTGGAGGGGAGGGGGAATATGTACTAAATGGATGATGGGCGTTAAGGAGGGCACTCACTGGGGGGCGCCTGGGTGGCTTAGCCAGTTAAGCATCTGACTTTCACTTAGGTCATGATCTCGCGGTTCGTGGGTCCGAGCCCCGCTTTGGGCTCTGTGCTGACTGCCAGCTCAGAGCCTGGAGCCTGTTTCAGTCTGTGACTCCCTCTCTCTGGCCCTCCCCTGCGCGCGCTGTCTCTCTCTCTCTCTCTCTCCTAGAAATAAATAAAACATTTAAAAAAAAAAAAAGGGCACTCATTGGGATGAGCACTGGGTGTTGTATGTAAGTGATAAATCACAAAATTCTACTCCTGAAACCATTATCACACTATATGTTAACTAAAGTGGATTCAAATAAAATTTAAAAATTAAAAAAAAAGCTTCCTTGCAAATTAAAACAGCCTGGAGGTTATATATCACACCTGTTTTGTGAGCAAAAACACTTTATTTTTCTTTTAACATTTATCTATTATTGAGAAACAGAGACAGAGCATGAGCAGGGGAGGGGCAGAGAGAAGGGGAGACACAGAATCTGAAGGAGGCTCCAGGCTCTGAGCTGGCAGCACAGAGCCTGATGTGGGGCTCGAACCCACATCCTGTGAGATCATGACCCAAGACAAAGTCAGACGCTTAACTGAGTAAGCCACCCAGGTGCCCCAGAGCAAAAAGACTTTTTAAGGGAAAACACCCAAAGTTGCCATAAAACTAAAGCACCTCCATGTTCCTTGTGGCAAATTCTATTGTACATCCTTTTTGAAACTCAAGGAATGTGCAAAATGGTTAACCCTGTAATCAACTTCTAAGACTTTCTAGCTTAAGGATGTGGCCAAAAAAAGAAAAAAACAAGTACATGTACAAAAACACCTAATCCAATTTATTTATGTAGTATTTAACAATTAAATTCCACTTAAGTGTCTAATATGAGGTAAGCAGTTAAGTGAATTGTAATATTGTTTATTTTTTTAATTTTTTAAGTTTATTTTGAGAAAGAGAGCATGTGCGGGGGAGGGGCAGAGAGAGACGGAGAAAGAGAATCGCAAGTAGGCTCTGTGCTCTGAGCTCAGAGCCTGATGTGGGGCATGAGCCCACCAACCGTGACATCATGAGCTGAGCTGAAAACAAGAATCAGATGTTTAACTGACTGAGCCACCCGGGCGCCCCAGTAATATGTTTACTTGAGTTGAGTATAAGCATCCCTGATAATGATGGTGACGATGTAGAGGAGGAATCCTTATGAAATCACATTCGGTTAAGAAAAATTATATGTGTGATACTACAGTTGTAAGCAGGACAAATCTATATGAACGTATGAATAATTACTTAACAGATGTGTATTGACCTTTTTTTTCTTTGCCTGGCCCCTATGCTGGAGATTAAAAATAAATACATGAATCATAGTACCTCCATTAAGGTGGGTGGCTTTTCTAAACATTTTTCAATGTTGTTATTTAAAATTAAAGGAAAAAAGAAGTTTTTAAAGCATTTGGCATTGACTTGTGTCTCTTCTTTGGATTCCATGCATGTATAGATTGATATGAGTGGCTTTGGCTCATTGCAGGTCATGTTGGCCGAGCTGAAAGGCAAAGATGAAGTATATGCTGTGAAAGTCTTAAAGAAGGATGTCATCCTCCAGGATGATGATGTGGACTGCACAATGACAGAGAAGAGGATTTTGGCTCTGGCACGGAAACACCCGTACCTAACCCAACTCTATTGCTGCTTTCAGACCAAGGTATGTCTAGGAAGCAGCTGGTGTGCCGCCATCTTGGGGTAACGCTGTATGATGTGATGGTATCTTGATGTTCAACCAAAAAAATCAATTATAGACCCTCCCATTCTTTTCTAACAGGCCTTGCAAAGTGCAATGGATTTTACCCTTGAAAAGATCAGGGTATATTTGAACAGCATCTTCTTTTTAAGGGGATGGGATTTTCCATTCAGGGTTGTGCTTGTGGAGGGATGAGAAGGCAATAGAACTCTTTGCAAATGCAGCTAGACGAAGCCAAATGGCTAAACCCAGTGTTTGCTCCTTGGACAAAATAACAGGCGTGGTTAGTCCTTGCTCCGCTCCTAACTTTCTATCATTAGGCAAATCCTAACTTTCTATCATTAAATTCTCTCTTGCCTTAAGATCAAATGAAAAGGAATAAAGGCCACCCTAACCACTTCTGACTTGCATAATGTCATATGAGGCAGACAATGTGGACAAGTGCTTACAATGCTCATTTTCAGTTGACCATGTAGGAGCCTGTGAACCAGAAGGTGGCAGTGAAGAAATGGAAATAATCTGTAACTGCAGTATGGAGTCTGACCTATGACTATTGTAACTGAGTTTTTTAACTTATTTTTAGTAAATAATAGAAACGCCAACATTCTTCATGAAGCACCTATTTTATTATCCCTTTTGTTGGGGAGAGTGAAGGTCTTTGTAGTCCTTAGCTTCTTGAGAAGGCAAAGGCAGCCTCACCTGAAACTCCTCCCTGTGCCCATCTGGAGCCCAGACAGGGCAGGGCACCATCACGGAGAGACGATCCCTTGCCCCTTGGCACACTCTCCCCTCTATGTCACTGCCATGATGTTCTTCCACTTTGAATTCAACTATTACTCATTTGGTCATGTGGCAAATTTTTATTTTATGATATTTGATTGAATTCTTCCCATGTGCCAGGTACTGAGATACAGTGGCCTCTCCCACCTCTGACCTCAGGGGAGTTTACAGTCTGTTTGGTACACTGGTTTTCACAGGGTATTTCTCTGAACCCTCATCACTTGAGAAACTCTAAGAATAATCCTGTGACCCATAGTTTGGGAAATTGAAGCCTTGACTTCTCCGAGACTGTTTCAACATGTACTTGCTTATTTAAGTCCCTGAGGAGAAATGCAATGGGCGAAAAAAAAAGATTGCCTTTGTTTAGTCTACTGTTTCCCAGTCATTTGATCTCAAGCTTCACTCATACCACCACCTAGTCCACACTGAGAAGCAGTGATCTAGTGGAATTTTTCTTATCCCTCTGATTTCTCAGGAGAATAAGAAACACCTTCTGAAAATCTGGAAATCCCTTTTCTGAACAAGTGCCAGAGTCATTAGCTATCCTTGTTTTTGAAATGTGTTATGTGATGCCTAATATTTATGGGTCTAAGCATGTATGTGTACCTGTGTGGAGCCCAACTTGATAAAAGAGGATCAATCGTATGGTTAACTTTTTCTTTTCTCCACTGGAGTGTAATTCAACATTAATGAAAAATGTGCCTTTTAAGTCTTTATCTTCTATGTCACCTGTCACAGGGCCTCACATTGGGTAGGTGTTCACTGTCAGAATTGGAAGGTTGGAAGATTTTATAAAAATTATCTCTTCTACTCTACTTTTGCACCAGTGAGAACATCAGATATCAAAGATGCCCATAGACACTCTGTTTTGGCCAAGGCAGACTTAGCATCTGGTCTTTGGGACTCTCAGTCCAATGAGACCTTGCTCTGATGTCACACCAATATTCTTTCTTATCTGACCCAGCACCATGTCCCCCTCTGTGGGAGGAGCTTTCCCCTTCTTCTGCTACGCCTAACAGGTAGCCATATCTTTCACTATCTGAGGAGGTTTCCTGGGTAGAGAGCCACACTGGTGTTTTTTTCTTTAGGTATATTGCAAAGAGGTTCAACATCCTGGGGAAGCCTCAGTGGAGGGTCAGCTTTCCTACACCTCTTGGTGAATAAGTGAGATACGGGAATGGAGGTCTTCCATGTCAGCATTGTTCTCCTCTGTGCATTGTAGAATATTAAGGCTAAGGTGCCTCATTATATGGCAGCTTTTGGAACACAAAACAGTATTTAACAAACACCATGGATTTCCTTTATAGTAGAATAATAACCAAACTGACGTGGAGATTGGGGTCTGGGTGGCTGGAGCATGGGGTTGGGGAGAGAAGAGACTTTAGTAGTTGAGATATTTACTAACTCTTTTTCTCAGGCTGATGTCAGGTAGCCACAGTTACAGGAGCAACTTTGCCCCACCTCCGCCCTGCCACCATTATTCCATAGGGCAGTAGCACATCCCACATTACACAGCAGACATGTGTTCATCTCATTCTTTGACAGTGAATCACATTTTAACCTCACTGAAGGACCTTCGCTTATTAATGAAAGCAATCTTAAGAAGAATCATTTTGTGAACTCCCAACTTCTAGAAAAGGTGACTTTTCCTATGACAACCAGTAGTCATGTTTCGTTTTGTTTTTTTTAACATTTATTTTTGAGAGACAGCAGACCATGAGTGGGGGAGGGACAGAGAGAGAAGGCGACACAGAATATGAAGCAGGCTCCAGTCCTGTCAGCACGGAGCCCAATGCAGGGCTTGGACTCATGAACCATGAGATCATGACCTGATCTGAAGTCAGACGCTTAACCGACTGAGCCACCCAGGCACCCCAAGTAGTCATGGTTTTAAAGAGTAGCTATTATTCACTCACCTGACTATGAGGTAGGTGCTGGCTCTGGGCTTATCAGCAAAAAGTGGAAGGGTTTACTCCAGAAGCCATGGGGAGTTTATACTCCTTCTGTAAACAAATGGCCGCAAACAGCATTGGATGGGGTGTTCAAACCAGGAGGACTCAGAGGAGAGGTGCTCTTGGACTTTGGAGTGGGGAGGGGGAGCTCAAGCCAGGCTTTGAGGAGGGGAGGGTTGGGCCAGGGTCTGGGTGGGAACAGGAGCCAGGCTCAGTAGCTGTAGCTCAGTCCTGCTTTTGTTTCACTTTTCCTCAAAAGAAAGGACCATTCCTCTGAGTTACCCTGAACCTGGTTTCAACTAAGTCTCTAATACGTGATAAAGGAATGTGAGATCTGATTGCAATCCTATTAAGATTTCTTTCATTCTTGTTTAATTATGACACACAAAGCAGCAATAATGTTAAGTCAGGTTTAATTACTTTTAGGTGAGCCTTTGTTTTTCACTGTGTAGGAAAAAAGGGCCCCCATGGAAACACACTTTAGAACTTCCTGATAGTTTGTGCATAGCTTCGGGCCACACGCTACACAGGTTGTCCGACAGGACTTAGATGTGTGTGAGGTGTGGGTGCCATGTCTGGTGTGGTGACCAATGGCGATAACCGTATACACCCACTGGCACTAGTCATGATGTCAAGCCATGAGTTAGATCTGGTCCCCACAGCCCACCGAAGGTACACGTCAAGGGCAAGTTGGCCTTTTCTGCGCCATGCCTGCCTGCCGTTGGTCCATGTACTCAGATCCTTCTTCTGGGGATCTGGAAGGCAGAAAAGCAAATGGAACTGCTCCGATGTTCCAGTGCTAGTAAGAAAAGGCAGACAGACCAGTGAATTAAGCCAGTAACTTCAATTTCAGTCAAATTCAAACTAGTATGTTTGACTTCAGCTCCTGCTACGCTGTGTGCTCTTGGGGCGGCTGGTGAAGTAGCCTGAACTAAGGAAAGCTGCAAAACTATATTTCATTAACTATCAAACATGTAGTGTGAAAGATGGATAAGGGACTTCCAACTCCTTTCTATCGGATCCTCTCTCTCACCACTAAAGAACCCTCAATGTAATTCTTATTTCATAAAAGCGTTCTGCTCAGGATTGACATAGCCATCCAGAATTACAGAAAGCATATCATCTATTGATTTGGATGAGAAACTAAAATTTCCATCTTTAAAAGTGCCAGATGGCTTTTAAATGGATGATGTTAAATTACAACAGTGTTTACTATTCTCACGCACACACACAATAACTCTTTCTTGGTTCAAAAAGTAGGGTGTGTAATGATTTCGATGAATATATAGGTATTTTTTTGAGCCTCTATTATATGTTCAACACTGCTAGATTCTAGGGTTACAAAGCCCCAAACATACCAACTCCGAACTCACAGAGATGACTGTCTACTGGAGAGACAGATGTGCGGAGTGATGGAGAGCTCCTCTACTGGGACCATGGAGGTAAGACATTGGAGGCTCTTCAAAGGGCACTTGGAAAGGCTTCCTCGAGGAGGTGGCACAAAACCAGGACCTTAAAGCATGGGTGGCATTTGAAAGAGGATAAGGGCAGAGAGCTGGCTGAGGAAACCTAAAACTTATCAATAAATCTCCTTCCCGCGACTGTTTCCCAACCCTGGAACTCTCACCTCTTTCTGTGCCCTACTTCTATGCAAATGACGATGGCAGAACAGCAACAGGGAAGGAGAGGGAGAGTGGAGGGTGTTTAGAAAATTCCTGCACCTGTGAGATCAGATGATTGGTAGAGAGGGGACGGAAGTACAGTTGGCCTTTGGACAACATGATCTCGATCTGGTCCACTTATGTGCGGGTTGTTTTCAAGGCAGTGCGGGACTACAAATGTTATCTTCTCTTCCTCAAGGTTTTCTTAATAATGTTTTCTTTTCTCTAGCTTACTTTATTGTAAGAATACATATAGCGTACAGAATATGTGCTCATTGACTGTGTTCTCAGCACGGCTTCTCTTCACAGTAGACTACTGGGAAAGTTTGGGGGGAGTCAGAAGTTATGTGCAGGGGCTGGGCACCCCGCCTGCCGTGTTCCGGGCCTGCTGTCCTGTGAGCCAACCTCACTGGGTGAGGCACCCAGCGCGGCTCCTCAAGTTACAGGTTTGGTCAAGGTCGGGGCTTAGGGAGAGGAGTGACTTCAGGAGCCGCCTCTTCAGGCCTCTCACTCACCCACAGGAAGCTAGGGATGAGAGAGCCACTGAGCGATGGGTTTGTTTCTGCTTTTG